GCAGTGAAGTATCGGTGTTGAGCACTGATGTCATGCTGTCGTTGATGATGATGACCTCTGAAGTCAAGGAACACTAAGATTGTGGATCTTTTGTACAGTTGCATTATCACCTGATAGACCAGCGATGCTATGGTCGTTTCGGTGGTTTGGTGCTTGGATGAACTTGTTTGCGTTATACTACAGACATGAGTCCCGGTATTCAGTAGCGCTTCAGACGTCTATCTCCAACAATCGTGCGTCACCGGACAATCCGATAGGTTTCGGAAGCACCTGTTGTGAGTTTTTTTTGGGGAGTTTCCCGGTGGCCAGACATGATGTACGCCTTTTACGTAGATTAGGAAAACAGCAGGCGATAAGTGCATGGTCGGGGTCCTCGCAGGTGTTCTAGAAGTGGCGGCTTGCAGTCATCGACGCTCACCACCGGTAATTGGTGGTAATGCGGCCTGTTGGATTCGGCGCTGTTTCGTTGGTGTGCATCACTTAATTAAACGATCACAGCTCCTCCGGAAATTGTTGCCGCATAGGAGCAGTCTGTGATCGGCACGAGTCTGAAGCAGGCGTTCTGTGTTGTCCGTGCGTCTCATGTCCAGCCAACCACTGAATTGTGCCTCAGCAGCGCTAAGCCTGCTTGCCTGAGCGTTTGTCACCAACAACGATGTCTGAGCTTCTAGTCCGTTGTAAGAGAATGTCTAGAGCGTCGTAGAAACTGCTACTTTAGATGTAAGTTTTTGAAAACCGCAGTGAGCTGAGTGTCTAATTTATACGGAAATCCGTTTCCCCTTTTTGATGAATATCCCGCAGTGGTCTGTTTTGGATGTCCACCTATGTGTCTTCCCGAGTGATGTAGCATATCTTATGCGATTCGGTTAATAGTTAAACCATTTACCGTTTGTTTCACCGAAAGTAAAGACGCATAACCCATGACAGAACGCCAGACTGTCTAATTGTGTGGATATCGCAGAGTACTTGCGGTGGACTAGCACCGGGCTCCATCCAATCTTTTCTTTTTTTCACCCTAAAGCTCTAAATACGATTAAATAAACTTCATGCTTTTACGGCAGGGGAGCATCAGTGTCAACACTGATATTGCTGTGTCTGATGATGAGGCTAAGGATGTGCCATCACGACGGCGAGTGTCACTCATCCCTTGGAGATACCTCTCGAATAGACCTTTTGCCTATTGTAACCGTTTCTGGTGGGGGGAGGATTACGGCATGTGGGGAAATGTCCCTGCTACAACCACTTCCCGCTCTCAGCGGACACTTCACAGGCTCACTGAAAAATGTCTGTTGTCAGAACAAAGAGGAGGCTTCCGGTATAAGGAAGTGCTTCCAAGGTATCTTCCGGGAAAATATGTGGCGCAGGTCTAAGACCAGGGTATTAGGTAGGTGTTTTCCATATCACCTAGCTGTATACCACGCCAGATATGTTCGACAGTTAAATGGAGAGTCTAACAACTAACCTCTACTCCAACTCATAGTATGGCAACCAAGTCAATTTCATTGCACTGGTCACATGCATGGAGCCGAAATCTTCACAGTTATTCACCATTAAACATTTTCACTGACCGATTGAGAAACTCATTTTCTCGTCCAGTACAATGTCTGTTCACCTAGATACCCCTTTTAGAAAGGTGATGCATTCTAATTCTCCTGCCTTTAGTGTCCACGAAAAACACCGTCTTCATATGGTTTTTGTGCCTTGCATAGCTGTCATACTACCGATGAGGATGCAAGAACTGAAATTACCCGGGTTTTATATGTAGGATGGAACAGCTGGTATTTCTGGAATGCTGGATATCCGTAAAAGATTATGGTGATAGTGATTTGCTTCTTGTTCCCAGTAGATAGTGGAATAAAATGTAATGGGTTGCGTCAAGATTTCTTATTCCACCTTTCAGACTCTGTTAAAAGATTTCTATTGTGTATAGTTACCACCAGATACATCGTTACTGTTGTAACAGAAATAGATATGGTTCAATTGTCTTCCGTTTACACCGAGCTTTCTCCTGCTCCCAACGAGTTATGTTTGATGAGATTCCGTTATATTCACCTCCCAACTTATATCAGAACAATGCAGTTGCTGCTAACATACAGTTCCCCACATTTTTCATCGTTAATAGCTACTTTTTCAATCGATAATTTGCCATACAATACACTGCTAGAAAGCACCCAAAACCTCCATACCTAATAGAGCCTAGGCAACACGTGTGACCGAGTCCATTCGTCTGAACACTGCATGCTTGGCAAACAGTTGGAATAAAGTGTATTCGGTAGAACTGAACATCGAAGTAAGCTTGTGTTAAGGAAATGGTTGCGTACACTCTGTTTGCTAAAAGGAATGCTCAGTCTTCTAGTCGGGCCGCTCGGAGTAACCGAGCGTTACATCAACTGCACAAATATGAGGCGAGCCGGCTTCGGACCGAACTCAAGCGTATCCTAATCGGTCGGAATGTGGTCCAGTCAAAATCGAGCCTTTTTTGATCGGCGCTTCTCGCCTGGTCACGATGACCTGTGTGACCTCGTGATTGCTCCTGTGATTGCTCCATATGTACGGATGTAATGATTTCCCTGTCGC